GGGGACTTCGGGTGGCAGTATACGCCGTGAAGTTTTTTGCGGCCTGCCAGTAAACACAAAGCAGAAGAAGAAGATTTGAAGTCAGCGGCTTCATTTGTTTAATCTTCCCTCAGGGAATTTGTCAAAAAAAAAATTGAAATCCATTCCATGAGCTATGCCAATCTTTGAATGTTTTGGGTTATGTTGTTGAAAGAGGAAACACCTGAGAGCAGTGATTGAACAATGAGACACTGAGATAAGACGCAGTATACACATATACACACGTACATGTGATACAAATTGGTAAAAATTATGTAATTACAAACACTTAAAGATCTTATTAATAAATGCATTTTCATTTAGTTATAGATGTATGTATAATGTGTTTGTGTGTCTCTTTCAGACTTATACAGGTCAGTTCGTCTACCATCTCCTGCCAGTGCTCAGCAGCTCCACCATCCAGTCTGTCCTGGCCTCCATCGGCTACCTGCCCCACACTGACACTGCTCTGAGGTAGGACCATAGGGACGGACACACACACACACACACACACACACACACACACACACACACACACACACACACACACACACACACACACACACACACACACACACACACACACACACACACACACACATATTTGTGTAAACAGTGACATTTGCCTGAACTTGTCTATTGTTTATCCAGCCCATCTAAGACTTTACCACGCCTGACTGTGCTGTGATTGGCTAGTATTGTCTGGACACCTCCCTTCCCTGTGATTGGATACAGTGATTTATGATGCTTTAAATAATTATGACTTTGTTTCGCTCATTTACCTTTAACAGTTTGCCATTACAATCCGTTACAATCAGAAGCCTCTCTCTCCTTCCTGTAGATGTGAAATGATGTCATCAGAGCGCGACAGAATAGCTGATTTTAGTTTCTTCAGCTGCTGCCAGAAAGTGTGTAGTTAGGGGGAGATTTGAGGGTGCGCTAGCTAGCTAATTAGCATCAATGCAGATTTCAATGCTGCCTCAACAAAGACTTTGTCATATGAAAGTGGGTGGGTGTGATTTGATCTGAAATTGATAGACGCTGCCTGAACTTAAATGATGTCTTAAATTAAGTGAAGTGCTGACGGAGCAAAACAATTATATTACAGGCGGAGGTATATTTTTTTCAAAATATCTAAGCAAAGCATGTCAAGAAAATGGCAAATAAATCTTATTTACAAGTGGACACATGTCGTATCCCCCAATATTTACACAAAGTCTCAAAACTGTAAACCTAACTGTCAGCTGTGTTGGGTTTTGTCAATAGTGACTACATGTTGGGGGTTTGAGATTGAATGGGAGTGGAGTGAATCTTGAAGCAAATGGAGAAAGCCGCAGTTTGATTCAAGCCCAGCTTCAGCATTTGGTCTGCTCTCCTCATCACTTTGGTCTTGCTCTCCTGAGCTGTCTAACAGTTGGATGTTTCAGTGAATACAGACTGAGTGAGGAGGCGGACCCTCAGAGGGCCCAGCTGCTGGGCTTCCAGCTGCTGCTGGCCAGGGTGGAGTGTTCCAACCTGCTGGAGCTCCTGGAGAGGCTGGGACCACAGGTAAACCATAAATCATCAAATGATAATATAATCAAACAGCATCCAATTGTATAGTCAATTAAAATGTTTACCTAATAAAGTCCATATGGGGATTTCTATTTGAAGGAAAATTCTTTCAAAAGAGTCTGAGTCTGTACAAAAATGAAAAACATAAAAAAACTGAAACCAAATCCTTCACAAAGCTTTGAAAATCCAAATCATATCAAATCACATGATGATCACATGATTTATAAAGCACATTATCATAAGTTATACACTAGCCTCACAGGGTTAGATATTATTTACAGCATACAACACCCTCTATCCATTAACACTTGTAGCGCATAAGGAAGAACTCCAAGTTTTAAATGAGATCAAAATAGAAAGTAACTTTATGAGGAAACAAAAGCAGAATCCCATAAAGAACTAAAAGGAAGATATAGTTTGAGGCTGCAATGATAGGAATCAGAAAGCCATGACAGAAGTGTACTTTAGGAATAGGATTGCAACTTCAAAAAAGAAACACCTGTATCAGACATATGGCTCGTAATATTAATAACATTTTGCCCTGAACAATGATCAAACAGTGCATGCAGCTCATTACTATGGAATATAAACATACCATACTGATGGGGATACTCAGTGACCCCCTGTCCCCCACCCAACAATGAGATGTGATCGAGTGGCAGCCATGGTCAAAGTGATTCAGTCTAGTTCAACTGCTTTCATGTGACCGGTCTGATTTCTCTGCAGGAGTGGCTGGATGTTCTCCAGAGGAAAGCAGGGCCGAAGACCCTGGAAGAGAACACAGAAGAGAACACAACTAAAGGTCAAAAGGAGGAGGAGGAGGAGGAGGAGGAGGAGGAGATAAAGAAGGAAGAGGAGGCCGATAGAAGAGAGGTAAGACAGATGGCTGGTTGGCTGTGATGACAATTAGAAGAAGGGAAATGAAAGAGAGCTGACAAGATATCGGTCGAATTAATGCATATCAATCAGTGCGGTTTCCTGCTGTGATGAACAGATCAGAAACCTTCCTGCTATCAGAACAGTAATGGATCGACATGTTTCTCATCGTAGCAGCATACAATGAGAAACACTGCACAACTTTAAACAACAGAAGGAATCACATTGATAGAATGATGATCAAGAACAGCGTGTTAAAGCACAGCATGTGGAGGTTGTTTCACGTAGTTCTGTCAGCAATGTACCTTCATCCACTACCTTCTGTACCAACTCTAGTGTATTCTCAATATGTACCATATGGGATGGGAAATATGTCTATTTTCAAATGCACTCACTCGTCTTAATGTGTCACTGTCAAATCAAGACTCACCATGTTTCGGGAGGATCTCCATTGGTACTCAGTGGCGGATAGTAACAAAGTACATTTACCCAAGTACGGTTCTTAAGTACAATGTGGTACTTGTACTTTAACAGAGTATTCTCAGTTATTGCTACTTTATATTTCTACTCCACTACATTTATCTGACAGCTTTTGTTACTAGTTACTTTTTAGGTTTAGATTATTAGCTAATATAATACAAAATATAAATAAATGATTGAAATAAACCTACATTTACACATATATTTATTGGTTAAGATATCCAGCAGCAGTATGTAAAGTTATTCAAATGAGCTCAAGTTGTGGGGTAAAAACACATGAATAATCATAATGGTAACCCAGTAACTCATTATACGAATTGGAAATAGGCCATTACGCATAACGAGTACTTTTACTTTAGTACTTTTATTTTTAGTACTTTATGTTTATTTTGATCCCAAAACCTTTGTACTTTTACTTAAGTAAGATTTTGAATGCAGAACTTCATCTTGTAACAAAGTACCTTTCAAATGTAGTATTGCTACTTTGATGAAGTAAAAAATCTTCACCCACTACTTGTATTACTGCTAAATGAGAAGGTCTACTACAGTGAATGACAGAATACTTCACCAAACAGCCTGAGGCCTGCAGAACCTGCTAACACACATCTGTGCTATTTCTCCAGGATCCTCAGAGTTCAGCCAACCGGCTGGAGTTGAAGCCTCAGCCTCAGCCCAAGCCCCGCCGCAGCCACCTCACCAGTGTGGATCAGTCCATCCTGGAGATGCACAAGTCCTACCCTGACCTGTCCATCAAGGGCCGCCGCCTGGTGCCGCACAGGGCCCCCAGAGAGGACAGCAGAGGGAGAGAGGGTCCTCCGGGCAGCACCAACATTCACTGTGATGAGGCTGGAGCTGATGGAGGCACCACAGCTGCTGCTCCCTCTGTCCACAGGACGGAGGATGGCCTCACAGCTGAGGGAGTGATGGGTGAAGAAAGCAGAGGCAGTGGCTGTTCTGACAGGATCAGTGGAGGGAGCGCCCCCCCAGGAGACGCCCTCAGCAGCAGTACCACTGATGGAGGCAGAGGGGAAGAGGAGCTCAGTGGTCCTCTGGGTGTTTCCCTCCACATCACTCTGAGAGCTGGATCTAAAGGGGAGCAGAGCCTGAAGCCCGGAGACCCTCAGGCCACAGCAGAGCACTCTGCAGCAGGTAACACTGCATTTAAAGCATTCAAAACAAGTTGTATTCAATATTCACCATACCAGCTGATTCATCTGCACCTACACCAGTACTTTCACAAGTCGTGCTGCTCAATTTAGACAGAGGTGGAAGTAGTACTCAGATTTTATTCTGCAGTAAAAGTAGCAGGACTTAATTGTGTACTGTTACAAGTAAAGTACCTGCATATAAATCTTCCTTGAGTAAAAGCACAAAAGCTTGCACTTAAGAATCTAAAGTTAAAGTAGTCTAGATGCTTAATAGTCCAGCAGATATGTGAAAGAATTGTGCTTTTGATGTTAAAAACATGAACTTTGGCACACTGTTAGAGCATGCCCTAAGAAAGATTTTTGGCTTTTGGGCCATCGCATATTTGTCCAATGGGTCCAATTGTGGCCATTTTTTAAATGGCCGCCATTGGCTGTTATTTTTTCAAGTAGCAGCCACAAATATGCGATGGACCTATAGCCAAAAATCTTCCTTTGGGCATGCTCTTACATTGTGACAAAGTTAATATTTTTATCATCAAAAGCACAATTCTTTCAGATATTTCACATATCTGCTGGACTATAATGGCTCATTTCAGAATGATATTCATGGAATTCCTGAATGAATGGCTAAATGCAATGACTTGCTGCTGGATAGCTAGAAGAGGCTCTATTCTGCTTTATGGGGTCTCCCTCTCACTACAGGAGTAGTGTGTGATATATATATATATATGATATATATGGTGTTCCCTTCATAGGGAGTTTCTCCCCCACACACATGAACCTGAAAATGAGTTGCATTAAGTGAAAGTAATCAGGTAAGGTACAAGTAAATCAAAAGTATACCTAAGTACAGTACTTTAAATGTACTTGAATATTGACCACCACAGCACATATATGAGCCAAACTAATAGGTGCACAAAGAGAAGCCCACACAGATTTATTCTCAATTTTCAAAATATGAAACAAAGTGCACTGCATGCTTTCACACCTACAGTAAGTCAAACGGGGCCTGAGAAGAGACAATGAGAGGGTGTTCCCACAGAATACAAAACGTCAGTTTATTATCACAAAGCCTGAGCCTCATTTTTAATATTACGTTACTGACTCTCTTTTTCAAGTTTCATTTAGCTCAAGAATCGAAGGTTCTGTTTCTCACTGTACTGAAAATGCACCCGCAGTATAAACGTGAAACTCTGATTTACACAGACCTTCAGAATAAGACCGCCGCCCCCCCAAAGCTGTCCTCTCTGAGCTCCCTGGAAGAGGGTCAGATGCTCAAAGAGCTCAGAGAGAGGATGGGCCAGCTCAGTGTGCAGGAGACCAGTGAGGAAGGGAAGGGAAGACATCACAAAAGAGAAGAGGACAACACGGAAAAAGAGAGGAGGAGGAAAGAGAGGAAGGCCAGCACAGAGGGGGGGGGCGAGGAGCAGACCCTCAGGACCCCTCTGATGGAGCCGGGTCCAGCCCCCTGCCCCCCTGCCTCCTCTCAGCTCCATCCCGCGGAGGAGAGGGAGCACCCCCCACTGAGCAGCGGGACAGCAGACTGCCAGGTAGTCTGTGCAGGAGAGACGGGCCGGGGGGGGGAGGAGGAGCTGGCTCAGAGCTTTGTTATCCTCTAGCACAGGGCCGGCAAACTCAGTTTAGTTCAGGGGCCACAACAGACACATCTGACCTCAAGTGGCGCAGCAAAGTCCTATCATAATAACCTAAAAGCACAACTCCTTCCCTTTGTTTGAGTGCAAAAAAGTACATTCCGAAAATGTTTTTTAATCCACTATCTTTTTTCAAAACATTATGAACAACCTGACATTTCTTAAGATAAATAAGTACAATTTCAACAATTGAATGCCTCAGTTTATAATTGACACATGTGCATTACAACTTACACATCACAGTATGTAGTGTAGTAATTTGGACCCTCTGAACTGACACACCACCATACAAACTGGGGACACGTTTTACCCCCGCCTTGTAAATGTATCAAATGTATAAATACAAAATACCTAAAAGTTGAGAAAATTGCTAATCTTATTTTCAAACTTTGCAAAGCTGGCCGTATGTCTGACACCCCTGCTCTAACTTCACAAGAAATCAAATGCTCTTAAGGTTGATTTACATGATGGAAATGATGAATAACCATACTCAGCAATTCCAATATCGACCAAGATTGACCTGTACATATTTCAAATGGAAACTGAAATGATCTGGCTCAGTAGAAAGAATGTTTTTTACCACCCTTCTTCTTTGCCTTTTTTTTGTTGTCTCCTGGCAAAATGCACTCTGGTAAGCAGTGATGATGTAGTGTAAATGTTTAGGGCTTTTATTGTCAAAGGTATGTGCTGCTGTCTACAATGCAGGAGCCATTAAGAGTGTGACATCTTTGTTCAGACTACTGACCTACAGTGTCTGAAAACGTAAGCATTCTTTTTCGTACTTAAATGCAGCCTCATCTCCTGTGGGGACAGCGACCTGCTGGAAGGATAGCAGAGTGAAAGAGAGGCTTATAGCAAAGATGGTGTCAATATCCTATAGACTACATTGGACACAACTATTTTCCTCAGAATGATAAGTTAGATTTGTTTGCCTATTGTCACTTTAAAAGAATGAGATTGAATAACAAATGCAAAAACCCCATGTATGCATACTCAGGTGGAACTCTGCTGTGACTCAGGAGTGTCTGCAGCTGCTCTGCATGTAACAAGCAGGACACACGTGTTGAGTCCCTCCAGATACATATTCAGTGAAACCACATATAAATAAATAAAAAGATAAATAAATCCTGTTTATTGTGTACAAGAATATTGCATTTGATTAATTGTTTCTGTGAGGATTATCAAAGACCCCCATCACCCCAGCCACAAACTGTTCTGTTTGCTGCCGTCTGGCAGGCGGCACCGCAGCATCCGGACTAAAACCACCAGACTCAGGGAGAGCTTCATCCCACAGGCCAGAAGACTATTAAACACCTGAACTTTGAAACAACATCCATAACATTCATCTGGCTGCTACTTAGAAATTATTTGGGGGGTAGGACACGTTTGATTCCTGTTTTGGTTAGTGTGCCGTCGATGGGTTTAATTCCATTTCAAAGTGCTGTTTGGTGTAAA